AATAGAGCCTGGGACAATTGTTAGAACTGCTGCTGTGGTGTAGTGGTAAGGCTCTCGCTCATCAGCACGCGGGTCATGGGTTCACTTCCCGCTGCGGTTGACGTTTTTGCAAATCATGTTTCACACTCATTAGAGACTTCTATTCTAGTTTCTATTTTATTCGAGCGAGCACATTGTCAGAACGTGAAGACCGAGTGACAGATATAGCTGTCGCTATGTTCCAATATCTTCATTGATGATGGTGTATTCTCCCGCGAAGGTAGTTTGGATACTTTTCGCAAAATTCGGAACAAGAAGATAATAGTCCTGCAACATGCAAAAAGAGAAAGATTGCTGCAAGGTCCGCTTTTATACTTCGTGCATCGCTGGATCGATATTGTAAAGGGGAAAGATTGGAATCGGATGCCCCAAACGAATCGGAGTGGGATTATTGCAATAACGAGGATGAAGACAGCTCGGGCAAGGCAAGGCAGACAAGCCGTGGAGTGGTAGAGGTATCAAATTAGCTCTGTTCTTTTAACTGAACGCTGGGTGTAGAAGAAAGTGCGCACGAAGTTACTTCATCTCAACTCACACAACAAACGTCAATGGTATTAGCATAGCTGTGATTAGGTGCTTATTCAAATAAATGTCAGAAACGAGAATAGAACTCTCTACTGGGTACGGAACATGATTTGCAAAAACGTCAACCGCAGCGGGAACCGAACCCATGACCTGCGTGCTGATGAGCGAGAGCCTTACCACTACACCACAGCAGCAGTTCTAACATTTGTCCCAGGCTCTATTGATATTTCTAGGTCTCGGCTCAAAGTTCAATGCCTTCCCTAGTAAGGGTAGTCTATGTAGTAGTATTTTGGTGCCACCGTTCGTGTGAACAAGGAACTTCCAGTTTTACTTTTACTTTAGTTTTTAATCTCCTGGAATTTAAGAATGCTACTTCCCCACTTCCTGTGCCATTTTATTCATTTTTTCATGCTGTATGACATTCTGTACCGGATTTTGCACAGACCAATTGTTAGCCATAGGGATAACGATTTCGGAGTAGAGGATGGGAAGTCCAGGTTTGCTAAACGAATTTCCCTATGGATGAAGTGGCTCTCACGTTCTGTGAGAATTGATTCGCGTGTGCGGAACCCTTCCCCTCTCCTGGACTCTAACAGCGCCGAATTCTACTCTGTTTGTCCACATCAAGCCAGACAAGAATATGTGTGTTGAAAATGTGTGTCGCGAAGGATTGTGGAGAAATTGTTCATTAATCGGCAAAACGTGACAGAGTCTTCCCGCCGACTAGGCGTTAAAAGTAACCATAATAATAGAATCTTGATGTGAAACTGTAGTTGAAAAGGAACGCAGTAGCGTTATAAGCAGAAACGAGGACTCGCTATGGGAAGCAGGTTGGCTCCGTTACTTGCGATAGTGTTCATGGATAGCCTGGAACGAACCGCTTTGTCATCAGGAATATTATATTTCGGACGATACATAGATCTTCATCGTCGGCAAAACAAGAACACTTTGCGAGAAACGTTTCTCTGAGTTGAATTCAGCGCGCCAGTCGATACAACTAACATCGGAAGAACCTTCGCAAGACGGCTTCTACCATTTCTGAATTCGAAAGTCAGAATAGTGGACGGTCAATTTCAGTACAATGTGGTATGAAAAGAAGGCATCTCGTAACATTCTTATACACGCTCGAATATTGCCACCCTCTCCCACATGAAACTGAATGTCGTTCGCCACATGATGGCAACATCATGCAAGCCGACTTCCGTAAATGCTGACGACTGAGATAGATGAAATACCACGGCAAAATGGATATAAAAGAGGACAACATCGGAGTTGGAAGCCGTGTCGATCACCATCTGGCACTCCTCTCGTACTACCATTTATCACCGATGATCTCGCAATGGACATCGACCGCGTTGTAAGAAGATCAGGACTGCCAATAAACCTGATCTTCCGACCACCACCTTCACTACGACGCCTTCTAACATCATCGCGTCCATACGAAAATCGGTGCGAAGAGCAAACTGTACGATATGTGGAGAACAGAAGGTGTGTCAAATGAGGCGTGTAGGGTATGAAGTACCCTCCCCTTCAAAAAGCCAGAAAGTGTGGGTGCAGACCAACACCACAAGTGACGACGGCCTCCAAGTAAATCTGGTTAGTAGTGGTTCATAGTGATAGCTGATTTTTGGTAAATGATAGTTGTAATTAGTGACAACTGATAGAATACAACTGCAACAGGCTAATCATTTCATTGGCAGAAAACATTACATTTTGTGGAGGCCGTCGTCACTTGTGGTGTATGGTCTGCACCCGACACTTTCTCGCTTTTTGAAGGGAGGTACAGTGTCTCGGGTTTGGAGAATTTTACATTGGAGAAACGGGAAGGCCACTCTACAAGAGAATGGACGAGCACATAAGAGCCCTGCGTAGTCCTCAAAACTACCCAGAGAGTCCATTCTCAAAACACCGCACACTACGACACGCACAAGAAAGTGCCCCGGAACTTCGTGTTGTTATCCTACACAGAAATGTGACTGACCCGGTCGAGCGAAAGATAAGGGAAGCATTGGAAATAAAGCAGTGTGCACCACCGATTAAAACAAGGAGGAAA